GACGAGTTAATATCCTGGGCAACGTATACTTTAACACTTGGTACTTTTATCCCGAAAAAGTACATACACGAAAAATCAAACTTAATTGTGCGGGCCGATCCCTAGACACAATTACTGTACTAAACGCAAATATAAATTTGTCGAATGCTAGGTTGCCCGCAGTAAAATTTAGGCTGTAACTGTAGGGCCGGTGGTTGAAGTTAGCTTAAACCGATATTATACATGCAAAAATATGTGCGTTTGTGTGTTTGTTTGTCACTCAGTCACATCAAAACGGCTGCAGGGACCGGGATGAAATTAGGAAGATAGGAAGAATATGGTCTGGAGTAATACAGATTACTTTTTACCCCTGCGAATGCGGGCAAAGCCGCTGAGAGAAGCTAGTAAGAGAAATAAATAAAGGATATTAACGCCAAAAGCTTTAGGTGCAAAGCCCACACCAAAATCACTTTCGCAGCTGTAGCCAAATGCCATTTAGCGCTTGTCTACTTGTACAATAGTAAAACCAAATTATATGGAATTGACGTTAATTTTGACACTTGTCAGTGTCATCCCCATACATTTAGTTTTCTACTCTCTCGGTAGACAAGCGCTAAAGTGGCGTTTGGCTAAAGGTACTGTTTACTATTCTTTGTCTACCCAGTCCTTTGATTATAGCGTTAAATTCCACTATTTAATATTCTAAGTCAGCTCATCATCTGTTGAAACGTAGCTATAAACCGGACCACAGTGCTCGCAATAGTTACGTGAGTGAAATAAACAAACAGACATGAACATTATCGTTTTACGTATTGATATTGTGGAGTATTGCGTGCGTAACGTTGTTTGTGTACTAATTAAATGGTTGCAGTTTTTGGAGATTTGTTTTGCATTTTTTTTTATTTATTTATTCAATTACATCACGTAACAAAGGCCCAGATTAATACAATAATACTATAATATAAAACATAAAATACTATAAATACATTTTCTTTTTAAAAAAACAAAAAAATGTTGCCCCACACTAGGATTATCTCCTGTGTCGTGGGTGCGTTTACAAACATACAAGTTCACATACACATGACACCCAGACCTGAAACAACAATTTGTGGATCACACAAAGTGTTGTTCCATGCGGGAATCAAACCCGCGAAACGTTGCACGGCAGCCGGTTGCCCAGCCACCGCACCAACAGTGCAGTCATATTATAGAAGTTATTAATTTAAATCGTTGTTACACACGATGTGCGTGGTCTCGTGTTATGTAGGCGGTCTTGAAAACGTCGGTATATGACACCCTTCAGCCAAAACCCTGCCTCCAGGAATTTGTCGAGATGTTAAGTCGGAACACGCACTACAAACTACTTGAAGTTGGTATCGTGACGCGGTTCCAACCTCTCCAATCCAAGGTATTTGCCTAAGTTTGGTGTCTTGTTATTTAGGTATCTATACATTTCGTTGGCTCAATGACCTAAAGTCGATGGTTTTATAATAACTATCGAGAGACATAATAAATTAAATAAAAACCGCGCGTTACTCACGTGAAAATACTGAGAAAAGCTCTACTAGTTTCAAACTACAGAGGGGTTCTTCGTCATGAGCAGCGTGCGCGGCCGCGGTGATGTCGCGCAAGTAGGCTGCGCGAAACAAGTATAGATTTTCTCAGTATTTTCACGTGAGTAACCCGCGATTTTTAGTTAACCTAAAGTGGATGTTTGTTGATGAGAAATTTCGCTATCTCTCGCGGTTTTTCGCAGTTTCTTGCCTATTGCTTATAGCTCCCTAAATCCCACGTCCACCACAATTACTAAAGTAATCATATGATATTTCAGAAGCTTATATAATAGGTACATAATGAATGTCAGACTTCGATTAGCCATACTAAATGATCACGAATATAATAAGTCAACTCCAGATCACCTTAATAAACCGTTTTTAAAAACTTTAACATTTAACGCATGCGTTCTAAATACTTCAATCATAAACTGATTGACGATTGGCGCGTGCGCAGCTAACCGAACTAATTATTTAATATTAATTGGTTTTTGCGTCAACACCTTCGGTTTATGACACTGAGATAGTGGATTTGGGTCAATACTTATTTTTTATTACTGTTTAGTGTAGAAATTTTAGTATGATGGATTCGTTTTTAATAGAGTGGTTTAATAAACTGTGGTATGTTAGGTGTGCTCGCAAATACCACCGCCGATCAAAAAGTCTCGAGCAAAGTACCTACCTATTGTTTGATATTTGACCTACTGATATTTTTGCCAATAAAAATATTTGTTTATTTTGCAGGAGGTTAAAATGCAAGGTCCTAGTAAAATACCTATTAATTTTCTGCGGAGAACCTAACGGGTTACCGGGGCTCCGACTCGAAGGGCAGGAGTAGGAACGGGGTGGTTTTTAGTCAATAAGAGTCTGACACTCCCTTCCGCCTCAAGCATTCAAAGATTTACCCCGCTTAAAAAAAACCTATTAATTTAGATCGATCGACAATTAAGTACTATAAGAGTCTTATTACTCAGTTTATTGTTCCTCTATTGAAAACTTGACACTAAACACGGCGGAAAACCGCGATTAATTATGAAATTATGTTACAAATTACAACACACCTCTTTTCTAAGAATACTTCACAATAATGCGTATAAAGATAACAATGATATCCTATACACTTATTGTTAAGCGCCACTTATTAATTATACTATCAGATTATTTGCGTATCTATACCACAAACAAGGTGGTGGTGACTCGGAGGTTTAAGACGCCCGCTTCTCATGCATGAGGGCGCAAGTTCGAAACCTACCAACAGCAAATACCAATGTGACTTTTTCCGAGTTATATGTACTTTCTAAGATTATCTAGACATCACTGACAAACGGTGAAGGAAAACATTTTGAGGAAACTTGGGCTTATTATTTCTAATCATAAATTTGAAATCGTCAACCCGCGTTAAGCAAGCGTGGTGATTAATGCTCGAAACTTCTCCGTGCGAGAAGAGGCTTTTGGTCAGTAGTGGCCACTTATAGGCTGTTGATGATACCATTAACGTTTATTACGTAAGTTTATGGTCTAAGTAGTATTTGTCCCAGGTTTTACCTTCCTGCTCTGTTCGTAGGTCTATACCTACGTAATGTAGTATGTAAGAAGAATGTTTGAAATCCTAATACTCGTAGTTAGCAGTTTTTGATAATAGCAGGCGCTAAACGAGACCAACTTACAGACATGTTCTTTTTTATGTTAGTAAAAATTGTCAAACAGAAATTGACGAACTTTTTTGAATAACTGTAGTATAATTAACTGTAATAACTTATTCACTTAAATTCTTTTCATGTGATAATTTGATAAAAATCTGCTCAGTAGTTTCATAGTTCATCGCGTATAGACACTTTAACACGCAGTGACGAAGCACTCCATAATGTTATGTAGTGATAATTGATAATGAAAGATAACAAGCAATAATAAACTTAAAATTAATGTAAATAGTAATTAGTATTTAAAGGGGGTTCACCTTACAATGTGCATTTACATTTAGGTTTCTTGAGAGCCACTTGAAGTAATTGGTTAATATTGACATCCTAAATTGTTTCACAATTAAATATTATATTATGAGTACTTGTTTCTATAATTTGTAATTAGTCAGTACGACTGTACAGAACGGATATGAATGGGTCTGTCGGTAGAGGTCGCTCTAGACGGATATATACTGACCAGATTGGTGATATATTAAAGAAGGGCCAAATGAAATGTACCCTTAACCGACGAGCAAGCATGAAAAGATAGATGACTGTAGATGAAGCGAAAGAGGTATGTAGGAATCATAGTAATTGGCGTTCCATAGTCTCTGCCTACCCCCATGGGAGACAAGAGTGAAGTACGTAAGTTAGTACGATTTTGTATGTCTTCCTTTACTAAACTATTAAATAAGGAATTTGAACATTTTAAACTCGTTCATCTTTAAGAAAAGTTAATCATTTGGTAATGATAATAATATCTACTATACACTAATTTTATTTGAAAAAATATTTTCGTAGAATTGGTCTAAGTTTTGAGTACTTCTTTTAGTATGCCAACTTGTATAATTTTTTAGACAAAACATGCTTATATGCGATCATGAAAAAGTCGTAAACTTTTTACGTCTACACTTCCAACTTTGAAGCCTTATTTATGTCTGAAAGTATATCGAAACTTTCCTTAGAGACGCTAAAAACTTACTTTTGTAACAAAAACAATGTTGAATTTGAAGATCATTATCTGGTCTAATTTAACGCAACGTACCTTTGACAGAGGTCTACGGAAATCCTTACGATGTTTTTTCCTATTTCTTTAGATTTCGGTATAAAAATCACGGGTCTTCAATAAAACAATGAGGCCGGCTGAAACCTGTCTCCGAAAACAAAGCAATATTACTTCATAGAACTTATTATTCTGTCTTTTATAGGCAGACGTTACGTAAAAAAAATATAACAAGATATTTTTACAAATTCGTTTCAGACGAAATGTATTGTGTCAAGGTATTTTTTTACGTGTTGTTTTAGATAGAATGTCTGTATTATAAGCAGAGCGTATAACTACTGATGACTAACTTTTTGTGTTGCAAGAGTGTTTTCTGCTATGTTATAGGCATTTATCCGAAACAAAAACATACATCAATTGGTCGACATGTATTTTTTTTAAGGGCGATACGTCGTCGCGGTGAACCTAACGGGTAACCGGGGCTCCGACTCGACGTGCAGGAGAAGGAACGGGGTGGTTTTTAGTCAGTAAGTGTCTGACACTCCCTTCCGCCTTACCCAGGCGGGAGCAGTCATTCGATGATTTTCCCCCCTTAAAAAAAAGGGCGAAACGTCATATCTTTTTTTATTGAACTCGCGTTACAGCGCTTGCAGTTACATATTACAATGTCTAATCAAAAATGTAAAGATTACACACAAATGTTATTATAGATAAGTTAAATTATTATGTTTTCGGCTTACTCACGTAATAATTTGGCGAGGAACTCGACTAGTTTCAAGCTATACTACTAGAGGCTCATATTCATGAGCAGCAATTCGAGACCCGCGACGCGGCGACTGTCGAGCTGCTACTGCTACTGCTGCTGCTACTGTTAAATAAATATACATAAGTTATTATTATTAAAGTATATTATTATGCTTGGAAATTTAACATGTAATCTTGATTTTACCTTATTTTAACGCAAATGTTTCATTATATCCACCCAAAGGTTGTCTGGTAGAAATCAATATAAGTGATAAGACCGCCTTTGTGCCCATTACTATTTTTATTTATATTAGTCATTTCCTTTTCTGTGTGTACTGTATTATTAAACTGTCAAATACCATCGGTCACCGGTGACCGCAAGCTATTGTTCTATAATTGTGTCTGCAAAACCGGTACTCGACGAGTTAATGGTGTACAATAAAGTTATATTCTATTCTATTCTATTCTATGTTAAATGTATTTACAAACAATTTTCTGTAAATTTTAAAATCCTAATATTACCTACAGTAAATTTCCCCCCACAATAACAGAGGCACCGCCGCGACAACAGTTAGTCTTTATAAACTCCTTTGTACAAGTACGTGGCTGGTCACTCAGTACACTCCAGAGGACACTTTACAACATGTTCAAGCCACATTAAGATTTGTCTAAGCACTAGAACAGCTTACAATTCAGCTACTATGTATTATGTTTACGATTTCCTGTTTTTCAATTATATTTGTTTAACTTCTAAGTAGTGTCCAACACTCGAGTAAAGTGAATTGTTTTATGTAAACATTGGTATATAAGAGCGGTTTTTCTATATTAATTAGGGATTGGTTAGTGTGTGTGTACTTGTCTGTTTTGATTCAATAGGTGTCCTGGAGGTCAATGGTTACTATTCAGCTGTTTAGTGAAGCAGGTTTTGTGTGAGTGCAAAATGTGAGTGTACCATTGGAGTTTTTGTGTTATAAATGTTATACAATTTGTGTTACAATACAACACTTTGAGACTTAATAGATTAATATGAGTGTAAGCATGATTATGGGCCCTTAACGTGGCTTGAATGTAGTCGAGTTAATTGTTGAACATCATCCAGAATTTATTTTCGATCTTCATATTTTTTTTAAAGCCCACACTAAAATTTTCTCCTGTGCGTGGTTGCGTGTAGAAACATACAAGTTCACATCCACATAATAACACCCAGACCTGGAACAACAATTTGTGGATCACACAAAGAGTTGCTCCGTGCGGGAATCGAACTCGCGACACGCAGCCAGTTGGCTGCCGCACAACGTGTTGCCGGGCAACTTCCCGGCCACCGAGCAGTCATTTGGAATATGGTTTGGGATATTTCGGTTACTTGCTTATGTGTAAGTAATATTTTTATTCGCCTTTATAATAAAAATATTGGGTATCAAATTCCTTCCCAAATAACTTAATTTATGGTCAACCAGAAAATATGTCAGCCATACTTTTCTCTCAGTAATTAAGTCACTTGATTCCAATTAAAGGCGTCAAGGACACGATACTATAACATACAATTACACCCGACTTTCCCCAAATTACTCTTTATTGGTCATCGAAGTTTATTGAGCGATATTGGTTTCGCGGTTACATGGTAATTGTTATAAGAAATATAATGATGGTCAGTGTCGTGAGATTGAAGGCTAAAGGCCCTTTCTTTCTATAAATGTTTTCCCTTAACCTTTGGCCTGTTGGAATATGAGACACAATAAAAAAACACATTGTGTATCGCGTAAATCTGCACCGATACTAGGGGTCAAATTTTTTTTATGTCATAAGCCGGTAATCGAGCGAACGGGTCACCTGATGGTAAGCAATCGGCGTCGCCCATGGACTCCTAGAACACCGGAGGCGTTATAAGTGCGTTACCGGCCTTTTGGGGATTAGGAGTTTGAGGATCGTTGGGGATTTAGGGATTGGGGAGATTGGGGAAGAGGAGGGTAATTGTGCCTCCAGTAATCTCACTCACACGACGAAACGTTTCACGTCGGTTTTCTGTGAGGCCGTGGTATCACTCCGGCCGAGGCGACCCATTCGTGCCGAAGCATGGCTCTCCCACACTTAAATTAAAATATCTTTTGCGAAATGTAAAATTGGAAAGTGTGTTATGAATAATTGCTTTCTTTTATGACTTTAATAGTCTCAAGTAGATCACCTTTATAATCAGCTACTGAGAATTTTCGAAGGAACAAAATAAAAATAAATTATATTTTGGCCAAGAACCGATAGTCAGATTTGCGATACGACAAACGAAGTACCCTTTTTAATTATTCCTACTGGCGTAGGCAGAGGTTATTACTTTGTGAATTATATATTTCTGTCTACTGATAAAGAAACATGACATTTGTTTTAAAATGCGAACTATAAAGATGTTGTGAGCTGATGAAGGCGAGTACAACATTATGTCATGTTAAACAGGTCCAAAGTTCTAGGCATGAGACAGTAGGGTTGGCGAAAACAATGTTAGTTACGTATTAAGAGCCTTGTTTGTTCTAACGGTGTCTGTGTGCTTGATTATTAAACGTAATTAATTGCTGACTGAAACTGGGCCATGCACGAATGGGTCGGTTCGACTGGAGTGATACCACGATCTCAAAGAAAACGGACGTGAAACAACACTTGCGTTTTATTTATTACCCCCTTTCCCTTCCTCAATCTCTGAATCCCAAACAATCCCAATTCCTAATCCCCAAAAGGCCGGTAACACATTTGTAACGCCTCTGGTGTTCCAGATGTCCATGGGGGACGCCGATTGCTTACCAGTTATCGTCGACAGTGATCCGTCTACTCGTTTACTGGCTTGTCCCATAAAAAATAAACGGTCACAATCACACGGTTGTGGTAAGAGTCGACTTAGGGACTGCACATATTACAGAGATGGGCAACGGCGTTCTATTTTTAAATTCAACCTTTTAAAATCAAGATCAATATAAACCAGATTATGGCAACCCTTATGTAGAAGTCCAAAAGAATATGTACAGAATACACATGGTCCTGCACTCAACGCCTATAGTAGTGAATGTTTCGATTAGTTTTCTCTAGTTTCTGCCAACCCTAAGCCTGTATTAATATGATGACGATGTACTCACATACCTTCTGTTGCAAGATAAGGGTTTTCCAGCGAAACAACTTCACTTGACGCCATTTCCGATAACGATTTGTAAGGAAATTTGTTCTTCGTATGCCAGTACCCAGCGACCTGGAAGTGAAATGTACAAATACAAAAGTGAAATTATATTTTATTGTTTGTATATTACGGTATGTTATTGGTTGAGATTTTGTTTGTTACGTCATATGATTCGAATGAATGTTTGCTGATTTGAATTTATTCGTTTATCTTTTTTTTAGAGTTAATTTTGTGTGATTGGTGTGGTTTTAATGTTAACTGTGTTCTTATTTTTATGAAAGTAAATTATAAGTATATTACTAAGAGAATCATTAAAGGAGAGCATCAAATATATTTTGTAGGTGTTAGAATCGGTAAATTCAATACGTAATTAATTTAATTATAAACTACGTTAAAAAACCGACTTCAACCCCCTTCTTTTTGAAGTCAGTTAATTAATATACTAAAACCTTCGTTCACATCAATATCGGTTCAGCCAATCGCGAGATAAATGCGCACAGACATAGTTACTTACACATAGGTCAAACAGAGAATCTTATTTTGTGTTTTTGAAGACGGTTAAAAATTTTTCAGTAGGTACGTTGATGTCCTGGCGTCTAAACAATAAGATTACAATACTAACTGTTGATAAACAATAAACTGAAGTTACTAATAATAGAGAATCGTATATAAAGTGTTTGTACAGGATTTTATTAGTTCCAATTATGTCCTCTTGTTGAGATAAGTTTACGGCGCTACACTTACGTTAAGGAGGCCAATGCACTGCTCTGTGCTAGCCATCGACGTTAATGATTACAACAATCGTTGTCTAACTGATAACACATAAGTTCAGGCTCAATTCTGTCTAAATGATAAATATCAATTAGGCTGAATAATTCCCTTAGTCATCGAAGACATCATTTCTTTTATCACGATTAGATAAGGTAAAAACAAATGATTTAATTTGCTGATTGTGTTCCTAGTAAAACTGAGTTTTAGGTTAAGTTCGTTCACTCATTGCAAGTGGGTGATCCTGTTTTTTTTTATAAATTGGTACCCTGATATTCATATACAAAATAAGTTATGAGTTTAATTATCCAATATCGATGATTGCTATACATGGATCTTAGAATAGTGATGCATTATTGTATGCATTATATGTAAGAGTAGATTCGATTCAAGATCTTAATGATGCATAAACGCTCTTACAAGAATATAATAATATTATTAGAAACCAGGTGAAAACTTATGTTTTAAGAAGAAACATATAACGGCAAACTTTAAGAAAACTGTAATTAGAACGACTAGATAATTGTGACAAAATTATTGATACCTCAAATTACTGAACTAACAAATAAGTACTGGTTGCCACGACAAACGTACTGACGATCTGTCGAAATCTCGAACAAAAAAGGCGGTCAATTTTCTTCTACCTCCAACAAAGGATCCTAACAATATGATAAATGTTTTTTTTAATAAGGAATAAATAATTCGTCACTCATTGAGAAAAATAGTGAAAGTATCTGAGAATCACCCTCATAATATTTAACTAAGATTGCAGTGAGGAAGTGGACGTGAAAAGATAAGTGGCATGGAAAAGACATTTAATACTATAATGTGTCTCATTCTATTACATTTAAACAAACATCATTTGATGGTGTTACACGATTATCTATAAAGTTAATAGTTTTTAGTGAATTGAACTAAATTCTTCGAGGTTATTAATTTCATTGGTGCCTATAATTTGGCGACGTTGTGGTTTTAAAAGGAAAGTAAAGTAGCTGTTATCAGAATATTTTGTGAACCTTTACAAACTATGTAATTTGAAAAAGATTTAGGTCAAAAATTGAGCTTTTCTAAAAAAATATAGAATAATTTACTAGCATAGTTTTCTTTAGAATCCTCGAGTACTGAATAGGTTTAAAAATCGGATTACAATAGGAATTTCTCCTTCAATACTTACCTACTGGTCTTTATCACAATTATCGTTTTGTTCAAATACATATCAACTGAGTTACAAGTAATTTTAAATTAATTACATTTCTACATAAAACTGTTATCCATCGTCTGACGTCATCGAACAGTTATTTCCTTACATCATTAAATCGAACGGAAATCTTCACTCGATACTTGGGCGTCATAGGAAGATGGAAGCGCTTTAATCGTTACCCTATTTACAAGAGCCGATGTCGAGTCGTAGAGGGTTCTTCAGTTTAGAATTAGTGTCGGTAAGAATAGTTCTAAATCTGTTCTACTTCGACTTTCAAAGAATTGAAAATTATGTAATACCTATTGTGAGACATACTAAATTAATTGATAATACCGTCGGTGACAAGTAATTGGTAGAGCATTTCTCAATGATTTACGTGAGCAAGCCGCCATTTTCAATGAGTTAAATAGATAGGAATTGCTAGAGATATTATTTATTTTGGATTGAGAGTAGTTATTTTATACCTTTTTTATTATAAAAAGATGAAGCGACTGCTGGGCAAGGGCTCTTGCGTTCGATTCCGGGCAAAGTATTACTTGGTTATAATAATAATATAAAAATTTAAATCTCAGTAGTAGCACAAAGTCTGGAATTGTGCCCGGTATATGGCAGTAGGCTCACCCCCTATTACATGGGACTCATTATATAGATAGTGAAAAGTGAGTGTTACATTGTACAGTGGTATTGAGTGTCGTATAGTGCACCTCTGCCTACCCCTTTAGAGATAAAAGGCGTTATTTTATGTTATGTTATGTTATAAAGCTGGAGATTTGGTTTGTTTGTTTGAACGCGCTTACCTCTGGAACTGCTGGTTCGAAACGAATAAGTATTTGTGTACATCACGTTACGATCAATAGAAGCCAAGCAGAGCGAGGAAAACCGCGTAGAAGTGGCTAGTTTTTGATAAATGGCCATGATTTCGTTTTTAAGTACCACCTATGTCTGTCTCTATGCTCTTGTCTTGCTGTTTTTGTACACGCATGTAAGTGGTGATATTGATAACTATAAAGGATTGGCGCCAATGTGTACTTATTAAAACTATTCTATTTTAAACTATAGTTGCATAATATTAATTTGGTCTGTCATATTCAAATTACTAGCCCAAGAGGTGTAACCATATATCAACAAGAGAAGCATGGACGGGTAGAAGAAGATCCAAGAATTGGCTAAAGGAAATCACCATTGTGCGATAAGACTACTTAAATTTTACTTAAATTGTTTGTTACCTAGGCTTCTTAAATGTATGGGGCCCAACAGGGCTGATACCCATACGGAGCCGCGGAAGACTTAACGGGTTGCCTGGGCTCCGGCTCGAAGTGCAGGAGTAGGAACGGAGTGGTTTTTAGTCCGTAAGAGTCTGACACTCCCTCTCGCTTCACCCGGGTGAGAGAAGCGATTGGATGATAATCCCCCCTCAAAAAAGACTTCTTAAATGTGTACAATAAAGCATATTATTACATGAATAAATAAATACATTTTTACACAAGCAACTTAGTTATATACATCAATGTACTTGAACCTAGTAAGTTTTTTTTATATATAATCGTATATTTTGAGGTTGCGACAAATAAAACCTTTTTGGTACATTATCATAACTTTTCTTACAAATAATACACTACTTTCTTTACATGAACTTATGATTATTCTGTCCCATATGTTTCTTTAATCCAAAAGTCCTGGGGTTTGACCTTGAAACACAGACTTTGTATACTTAACATTTCACATAAAGACTTATATGGTAAGTAAATAGTGACACAATGGAAATTTCGGTTTTATTTCGTTGTTTTGGACCCAAATTTTGTTCTGAACTCCTGAGGTCATGGCGCGTAGCGTAGGTAGCGATATGGAAAGCTTGTAGTTATAATTCTTTATTATATGTTAAAATTTAGAGGTTCTTTATAAAATATGTTAAAATGTGTGCGTAGTGTCGTATAGATTGTAGTAATAATAATTAAGTCATAGTGTAATTGTGACATGCTTGGTTTTTCTTTAAGTAATCTAAAAAAAGAGAAATTGTTTTTCAATACCGATCCTATGAATCATTAAGTTCACAGATTTAAATAAAATTTCGCAACATAATTTACCCTCATTAGTTGATTTACAAGAGTATGCTAACATTTGCATTTACTTTATTTTATTGAATTATTAATGAGATTTAATAACACCCATTGTACTTTAGCCTTAAACGGGGAACTACAGAAAGGGTTCGAAGAGTTGAGGGTCAAGATATATACGTCATTTATGTACAAAAATGTCAGTATTTATATGTAATTAGTCTGTGCAACTGTTATGTGACTTTGACGAGGCGAATAAACAATCGAATGTCAACACTTGAAGGAGCGATGACTCGCGCGCCGGCGCATGCGTATGGGCACGATGTTTGCGGCTGCCTTCGACTCTACAGGCTAGCAAACTATAGTCTTTACAAACCAAGTTATGTATTCATACGTATGGATGTAAAATACCTATTTTGGAACGCATTGTGTTAATTAAATGGGTAAGGTAAGGTTTATTATCTGCAAATTGATTTTTGCTTGCTATTTTTCTTTAGATATTTAATAAATATTTTTCTAAAATATTATTTTCAAGTAAGTACCGATCTTCAAGATTTTTGTGTAATCTTCTAAGCTTAGGGTCATATAAGCAGATTGAGTAATTATCATCTGATGCGAAGCGGTGCAATTTTTTGAGGTTAGGTGTCATTCCGGTCGACTTGACACATTTGTGCCAAAGGATGGCTGTCTTGCGTTTCCAAGCTCTATAAAAAATAAAGGAAATTAAAATTAAATTCACCCTTAACTAATTATCATGTTTTTCGGCTTAGTCACGTAATTATTTGATGGAGAACTCGACTAGTTTCAAGCCATGCTAGAGGCTCATATTCATGACCAGCATTTCGCATGCCACACGGTTACTGTCACGCCGGTAGTCGTTAAAAAATAACGCGAGTAAAAACATAATAATTAATTTAGTATGTCTCAACAAAGGTTTAATACCTATAAATAAATTCATAAGATGTTGGGCTAGTTTTAAAACATTTTAGCAAATCCTATAACGAAAATTGCAAATTGTTAATGATTCGCTTTCATTTACATAGCGTATATTTAATTAGATAAGGTACGATGGGGTTGACGTATCCATATGGACATAAAACCCCCTAAAAACAATAAAGGAGAATAAAAAAAAATCCTTTCCGTATCATATTAGTAAGCATTTACTACGATTCTCTACTACTTAGTATTGTGAATGGATGCGCCCCTTCGTCTGATTTCTCTAATCCTTATCGTCACCTTTTGAATCCGATACCCAACAATAAACACCACTATATCTAAGTATTAAACATTGTCATTGTTATCAAAAGAAATTCCATATGTGATTTTAAAAATTTTACGATCGGAAAATAAATTAATTTCAATAGATACGAGTTCTAACGGGAGAGATATAAGCTGAGATTATGCTTCGGGACACACTCGATAAAATATTGAATAAACAAAAATATATGAATAGAATATGTTTCAAGCAAATTACGTATTAAATGGAAAAGTTATGTGTACCTCTTTGGTTGGGGTATGAATGTACCTATGATAATGCTGTTGTAATCAGTAGATTAGGGCCGCC